TAGTCATTTTTTGATAAATAATCAGCGGTGGTTGGACGTTGGTTATTCACAATCATCGTATTAGTACTTTCACAATGATCCCTTAATTGTCGGTAATGGTTCATAATTATTAATATAACCTTCCTAATCGGATAACAAATCATTTTTATAGAAAGCTTAATATGGTTCGAGCAGCTACTACAAATGTTCTCAAATTTATTTGATTAGTCATATAAATCAAATAATAGATTTCACTTTTCTTTTTAAATTATTTAAAACGCTTCCGCTCGAACCCTTCTAAGATTGGGCCGTTGTCAATGTTCAGGTATCTAATCCTTATCTATTAATTTATTCCGGGTGTACGATCTTTTACGCTACATCCGGCCACACCCAATCAAAACCTGTCTACTAGATCGCTCTATAAAAATTTTGAGTTTCCCTCCAATTATAAGATTTTCCTCTTTCACTGAAAATTCGATTAAATCAATGTTGGGAAAGTCGGCGCCTCAGTCTTCTTCCTCAACCTCGCTTCCTTGCTTCGACTGCAAATTCCCAAATTTCATCTCTTCTTTCTCATCCCAAATCATCGCCAATTCTCCATCCAAGGTGCCGCTCTCCCCATCGTTTAAACTATCATTTATTCTATGGTTTTTATGTTGTTCTTGATAGTTTCCCTATTTCGTCTCATTTTCCTTTTTGTTTGCAAGTGCGTTATCCGGTGTAGTTTGTGCATCTCTGTATGTATTTATTCTCTGAAATTCGTATTATATTTCAATTTTTCATATTAGTGTCCGGATGCAAAAGCTGCTTACAGTTTTCTATTGTTGCAATTATGTTGCGAATTTACTCGTTCATTAATTGGGGAAATCAAGAAAAACAAAGTGATTTCCTTTGTATTCCCACCGAGATGTAAATATAAGTTTGTAATTTGGAGGTGAGACGCTTGAGAGAATTGAAGATCTCTGCATGATGTATATTTAACTGTTCAGTTTTTTTTATACTTTACTGTCTAGTTTAACAATCTGTTTTTAATCTTTTAGTATCAGAAAACATTCTTGATTTCCTCAATAGTTTGACTGTGTTTTAACTGTCATTACATTTCTGGCAGTTCCAGTAAACATTTTGCTGTAGAAGTAGGTGGTGCCAGTTGAAAATATATTGATGTTGATGACATTGAACATTGGAGCAACCTGTTGAAGACCCTAAAAAATGACAAATTATTATGATATTGATGACATTCTGGCGGAGGAAGAGGTCAATATCTTATTCTTTTACTTGATAAGATTTTATAAACTCGCAATCTCAATATTGAATCTTGTTTTGTCTGCTTGACAGCTTGTATCAGTTATGTTCCAAAAGGCAGTTAATGGAGTTGCAATAGATCCCAGTTCTGAAACAGATTCTGTGAGTTGGATTAGTAGGAGACAGGTTATGGAAGATGAATGACAAACTTATGTTTTCTTTTCTGGTGCAATTTCAGGTTGAGTCTGGATCCAAAGTAGAGCTACCCTTCTGGCTTGCAAAAGAGCTGCATCTTCGACAAGTGGCAGTTATGGGCTTGCCTGCTTGTTTTAACCAAAGGTAGCAATCTCCATTACATTCAGGCTTTGCATACGACCAAGAATTTCCCTGAACTTTTATTGTCTAGACTTTTTGGAGCTTAAGAGAATGAGGATCTTCCTTACTACGCCCCGACTCACTCCCTAAAAACTGACCTGCAAAGACACTGAATTCTGATTCTTTTTCTTCCAACTTTGTGGTTGCAGAATTCATGCTTGATGACTTAATTTCTTTTCATCTGCTTATTGTTTTACGAGTAGAAAGTTCTGAATTGGAATCTTAAGAGCACAGGAATTTGTCAAATTTAATGAGATTATTTTAAATTTGTTGGTGGTATTATTTTGAAAAGAACTTCCCTTCTAAGCGCTCATGAATTACTTCGGAGACAAGTGATGTTAATGGCATCGCCCTCCGGTTTCATCAATTAAAACAACTGTGCATGACCTATATGGCATGAAATTGTAGTATTCCAAAAACTTTTGAGATTTGGTTTATAGAATCTTGTTACTTGCTCCGTTGAAGCCGACCCACAAAGAAAATTATTTTTTTCCTGTGTAGTATTCTGAGCCTGTGTATGCTCAATCTTTTCATGTGCTAACTAATTAATTACCAGCAGAGATTTCCTACCCTAGAATTTCATGATCAAAGGAATCAGTGAGACTTTGAAGATGATATTTGTTCTTATATTTATATAGGTAAAGATGATGATATTTGTAGTTGACTAGTGCTCTTTTTCTCTAAGCAGAACGCGACTTGAAATTCAGGCTGACGCTGCATTTGTTGATCTACGATCTAGAAGTCAATACTTCTATGAATTTGGATGCAAAATCGCACCATTGTAAGTATCTTGAGATCCAACTCTGTGTGCATCAGATTTTTTTTTTTTTTAAAATATCCATGAGAATCCGTACTTGAATTATTCTCACTAGACAGTGACAGTTGATTGACTCTACTACATTTAGTTTCTAAGTTAATTCATAAGATGTTAAATCTTAGATAGGTGGTTGAATTTATCATAATTATTTTAGGAGGAGAAAATTGACATCGCTGTTTTTCCATTATTTTATCTGAAGTCATACTAAATATCTATTGGATAGCGAAAGCGTGTCAGTGTACTTTCATTTGACATACATTTGTACTTGAATGAGCATTGTTTGTTTTCACCTTTGACAGAACTACCATTCTGAAGGTATGCCATTTAACAGATCCTTATTTTAACGTAATAATTAGGATATCTAGTCACAGGACTTCTTTTTTACTGCCGTCTAAATGACATATCAAACGATCAATTTAAGCTTGTATATTAAGCATGTCGATTGGACATCCTATCAATGACTAAGGATCTTAACTTTAGGCTTGAACTCTTGGGAGTATTTTATAATAATCTGTCTAGCATGTTATCATCTCAAGTTCTGCATCTCGATGAATATTAATATCATTTTCATTCCATTGGTAGATGTAGACTGATAAATATGCATAAAGCTTTAAAACTGACTAGCTAGCCCACTCTACATATGAAGTATATCTTGTAAAAAGTGCTTGTTGCCTTGATCTCGTGCATTTAGGATGTCTACCATATCTCGCTGTTAGCAATATTTTTTTTAAGTGTACCTAAATGGACGAGAACGCAATAGATAGAGTGCTATTTCTCATTTTTGTTTCACAAACTTCAATGTCAGGGTTGGTGATAGAACAATCGGTTCTTGGCTTTTATCCACGTTCAAAAGTAGGTACAAGGAAGTTTTGACCAAGGCTCACACTGCAGTGTTTGCTGCAAGTTCAAAATACTTGACAGTTCTATCAAAGGAAGAAACTAAAAGTGAGATTTTTGTTGCATGTTTTGTCTGTCCTCTGTTTTCATATTTGGTGCTTCTCTTCAAACTCACGTCTCAATATAATCATTGTATGCAGTGTATGAGGCAGCCCAGTCCTCTATGACAGCCTTTAAGAAATGGCGAATCGGTGGGCCTAGATTTCAGAAAGCATCCTTTCTTGGGAGGAAGAGGAAGTCTTCTGAGTAGGTACTAAGGCAAGCTTAAATGTATTCTATTTTCATCCCTTGGTTGCATAAGCATAGAAAACAGTGGAAAAGTAGTAATTTATTCATGATTTTTTTTATAAAAAATGTTTCATTATTGCCGTTTCAACTTATCTTTTTTTCCTTCTCCCCTTTTCTACCCGTCCTACTTATTCTATGATATCAAATGTGATATCCCACATCCGTTGGAGAGGAGAATAAAATATCCTTTGGATGTTGAAACCTTTCTTTAGGAGATGCGTTTTAAAACCTTGAGAAAAATCTTGAACTAGAAAGTCCAGAGAGAACAATATCTACTCGTGGTGGACTTGGGCTTTTTGACTATTACACCAAATGATGTAATCAATTCTATCACATGTTGCTAAGGTGACTCTGGTATGAACACACAATAACACGTCTTTGGAAAGTGAGATGAAACTTTCTATAAATTATGAGTAGTGACCCATAAAATTTGAATGTTTCTAGAGTGGGTAAGACATTACGGAGCATTCATCAGAATAACTTAGTGTCTTCATATTGTATTGAACCTCATCTCTCCACCTATTTTCCTTTCCTATGATACCTAGTATTCAAATTTATTTTCTAATTATAATTTTTATTATTATTATTATTTTCCAATTGGAAAAGTAGTCATCGACCCATTGTTGAACCTATTATAGATCTGCTTTAATATATATATATATATATAATTCTAAAGTTGTGGATATTATAAGGTTTTGGAGAACGCGTTTAGGATTATTTTTTAAAAAAAATTAACTCAACATCGTGGATGCCACTATGTTTAGTAACATATTGTTAATTTAAAATTATACATCTTACAATTAGTTGTATATTATTAATTTCAAGTTAATTTTTATCAAATTAGATATACTAGTAGCAGCCATTTTCAAAAATAAAATATAATAAAAATATGTTTCTAAGAACAAATTTTAAACTCTATAGACATTTAAATGTATATAGATTAAAATAGAGTAAATTTTAAAGTACAAAAATTAAAATGATATTTTAAATATTTATGATAAAGTAATGATAAGTATGTGTAGTAAAAATCTATATGTTTAATTAATTAATTGAATATAGTTAAATAGTTAGAAACCAACTCCATTGTCCCTTCCCAATTGGCTCCATTATAAAGAAAAATATTATTATCGACCATTTTTTTTAATTAGTTAATTGAATCATAATTAATGTAAGAATAAAAATAAAAGAAAATTATTTATTTCTTTATTTTATTTGATAAAGAAAGACCGAACATTGGTGACTTTAGATATCGAATTGGCGGGAGTTGACAAAATATGGGAGAGAAAAACAAACCACGTGGCGCATGGCCAACGAAAACGACGCGCTCATGAAGCGTTTTGACGATAAAAGCGAGTACAAAATTGTATGATCATATTAATTTTGCATTTGTTCAGTTAAAAAAAAAAAGTCGACGCGGTCGAGCGATTGAGCATTAAAGTCTCCGAAAAACTTGGTTCCATTGCCATCGTTCCTCTCTGAATTCAACAATTTGGGGTTGTGGGATCAGGTGTCCATTTCTCCATTTTTCTCCTCCAAGTTTTTCATAGTTTTTGGATTCAAATTAGTCGCAGAAGGGTTGCGAGAATTCCATTGAGTTCAAATTGTGATTCGACATGAAGGGGGGCTGCAACAGCTACAAGGTTTTCGGTTTCAGTCGGAAGTTCAAGTTATCTGAGGCCGAACCGCCGCAAGATGTCATAGATATCTTCGCTTCGTTTACCGATGGCGGGGAGTACATGTCGGCCGAACAAATGCTCCACTTCTTGGGGGATCAGCAAGAGATGGAATGTACCCTATCTGAAGCGGAGCAGATCATCGAGCAGATCTTGCAGAAGCGACGGGGCTCCGATAATCCCTCTGGAGATTCGAGTCAGGGTCTTAGCCTTGATGATTTCTTCCATTATCTCTTCATGCCTGAGTTCAATGGCCCCATTAAAACTCAGGTTTGGTGTTCCTTTCTTTTCCTACATATCCACCCATATCCCATTTCATAATTTATTGGGTTCTTGTTTTTTTTTTTGTGTTAATTCATTAGCTGCTTATTGCAATAACCCAATCCGAATGAACTCAGTAATGCTTTTAATAACATTACTTTGGACAGGTACATCATGATATGAATGCTCCATTGTCCCATTATTTCATATATACAGGGCACAACTCTTACCTTACTGGGAATCAACTTAGTAGTGATTGTAGTGATGCTCCCATAATAAAGGCTTTGAATAGAGGGCTACGGGTAGTTGAGCTTGATTTATGGCCAAATTCAACAAAAGATGATGTTCATGTTCTTCATGGAAGGTATTAATTACCTCATCTTTCAATACCATCCTCATCAAACCAAAATATAAACTGATATTAACTTTTAAAAGAGGAAATCACTGTACAGAACCATTCTCTGGATGACTGTAGGACTTTAACCAGCCCTGTGCCTCTCTTGAAGTGTTTGAAGTCTATAAACGAGCATGCTTTTGAGAAATCTCCATATCCTGTTATTATCACTCTTGAAGATCATCTTACTCCTGACCTTCAAGCTAAAGTTGCAGAGGTTTTCATTCTTACCCAAAATGATTGTTTCTGTTTATCCTTATAGATTCTGGTTTAATGCTTTCTATTCTTCCTTGAAGATGGTAACCGGAATATTTGGAGATACACTGTTCTACCCTCAGGCAGATAGCTTATCGGAATTCCCTTCTCCAGAATCCTTAAAACATAGAATCATTATTTCAACAAAGCCACCAAAAGAGTACCTTACATCTAATAAAAAGGATAAGATTTTAAGTGATGGAAAAGAGTCATCAGAAGAAGAGTCATCAGATCCTGTGACTGATTTCGATGCTGATGAACAGGTGGGTGAGAAATGAAAGCTGGGCATACTGTTTCTTACTTTGAAGTATAAATTATTGCTTGATTAGTCCTTCTGATTATGAACAGAGTGAAAGTGATCCAGATGAGGAAGAAAACAGTGGAGGCGAGTCGAAACCGCCCCAGCAAGGTGCACCGGAGTATAAACGTCTGATTACAATCCATGCAGGGAAACCAAAAGGGGGCTGCTTAAAGGATGCATTGAACGTACAAGGTGAGAAGGTTAGGCGCCTTAGCTTGAGTGAGCAAGGACTTGAGAAGGCTGTGGTCTCTGATGGAACTGATGTTGTAAGGTAATTGTTCCACTTATAATGTGAATGAGTTTTGATCTTTTGCTGGTGATTGATTCTGATCATTATAGTTATGATCTTTAGGTTTACACAAAAGAATATTTTGAGAGTTTACCCAAAAGGAACCCGTGTCACATCGTCGAATTTTCGGCCGAATATCGGGTGGACGCATGGAGCTCAGATGGTTGCTTTAAACATGCAGGTGCTGATTGGAACCTTCATCATGTCCGTGCCCTTATTTTCTTGTCTTTCCCCTTACATTCTTGTGAATGAGTGGATCAAATATTAGGGAAGAGAACGAAACACCATTTATAAGGGTGTAAAAACCTTTTTTTAGTAAACGCGTTTTTAAAGTTTTAAGGGGAAGTCCAAAAGAGAAAGTCTAAAGAGGACAATATGTGTTAGCGGTGGGCTTGGGCCGTGAACAAGGTTTCAAATGTCTTATAAATGTTGTTCTGATCCGTAAGGAATGATCCAAATGAAGTTCCGGTTTGTTTTTCTACGACAGGGCTATGGAAGATCACTATGGATGATGCATGGGATGTTTAGAGCCAATGGAGGGTGTGGGTACTTAAAAAAACCAGACTTTTTGTTACCAAAGAGCCCAGAAGATGAGATCTTTGATCCCAAGAAACCTCCGCCAGTGAAGGAAACATTAAAAGTAAGCCAATTGTGTTGGGTTGTTCTATCTTGGCATCAGTTTTAACACCCATGTTCTTCAATAGGTAACAGTATATTTGGGGGATGGGTGGAGCTCGGACTTTAGCCAAACGCATTTTGATAACTATTCTCCGCCGGACTTCTACACAAAGGTTAGTGGTAGCCATTCTGTCCTCCCAGCTTAGCTCGTATTTGATGAAAACTTAAAATGTTGGATGAATGGCAGATTCGAATTGTCGGTGTACCAGCTGATGCAGCGAAGAAGAAGACAAGGGTTATTGAGAACGACTGGGTGCCCATTTGGAACGAAGAGTTCAAGTTTCCTTTGACAGTGCCAGAGCTTGCTTTGCTGCAGATTGAAGTGCGAGACTTCGACAGGTCGGAGAAGGATGACTTTGGTGGGCAGACATGTCTGCCAATCTCAGAGCTCAGGCCTGGGATTCGGGCAGTCCCTCTTTATGACAAGAAGGGAGAGAAACTAACGTCTGTGAGGCTTCTAATGCGCTTCCTGTTTTTGTATGAATGATTCCATTGTTTCATTATAACTTACGCTACTGCTTTTAGCTGCCTCTGCCCACCACGGCCTTCCTGCTTCCAAGCAAGCAGCCCTGTTTTGTTGTAAACTATTATATGTAATAATCATGCTTCAAATTCATTATTTTATTTAAAGGTTGAATTATTTTTTATAGTTTTGTTTGTATCTCTTTTTTGATATTGGTAACGGTGTAAATCCATCCCCACCAGATGTTGTCATCTTTAGGCTGCTTCTCACCAAGGTTTTAAAACGTGTCCCTTGGTAAGAGGCTTCCACACCCTTAGGAATGTTTCTTTTCCTCCAACTAATGTAAGAACCTTACAATTTATCCCTTGGGTCCAACATCCTCATATACCATTTGTAATAGCCTAAGAGCATAGAGATATTGTTCTATTTAGGCTTTTCGTTTGAGGGTTTCCTGCCAGGGTTTTAAGACATGTCTGCTAAGGAGATGTTTCCACATCCTAAGAAATGTTTCGTTCTCCTCTACAACTAATGTGGGATCTCATAATCCACCTTTCTTGGGGCTTAGCGTCTGTCTTCATTGACACAACCTCTCAGTGCTTGGGTCTGGTACCATTTGTAAGAGCCCATACCTATCGCCATCCTTTTTAAATTTTACTTTTAAGGGCTTCCATTAAAACACGTTAGAGATATTTTCACGTCCTAAAAAATGTTTCATTCACATATAGATGTGTTTGCTTGTGAGAGGTGAGCTGTCCCAAGTCCAAAAGATAATCCAATAATGCTTTTATAACTGTGTTTGACTTTTTTTGTTCATTGTTTTCAGAGTCAAAATCCGCCAAACAATAAAATAAATCCAATTTTGAAAAAAGAAAAAAAGACAGAACAGAAACATTTGTCTGGTCGCAGTCGTTGGTTCGATGCAAAAGCACATGCACCGTCTCTCTCCGCAGCTCACCTTTCAGCTTTTTGCTCCCCACTTAGCACGTGCGAAAACCATCCATTTTTGTTTTCAAATTCAACCTCGACTGTTTAGGCCTAAGAACACTTCAAGAAACTGTTCTTCAAAATTTATATGCAAAGTTCTTTCACAAATTTACAAACAAGCTCCATGAATATACAACTACAAAAATGCAAAACCAGAAGCCAACTTCTTTTTCTCTTATTCCTTTCTTTAATTTAATTGATGGGTAATGAATATTTCTTCAAAAAAAATTTACGGAAACAGCTATTCGTACGACTGCGAAAACCACGGGTGTGCAAGTGCTTCCTTTGCAGTTGGTCGTCTTTCTGGATCGATCTCGAGTAAGTTAGAGAGAAAATCAACAAACCCGGAGTCGAAAACCTGCAGATGATCCTCCAAGGAGGTCTCTTCAGGGATGATGAGTTCCATTTGATCCGTTTCCTGAAATGCAAATTCTCAAACGTCATCAATGTTCTTTGGATGGAAAAATATTATGTTTTATCACCAACCTCATTCATATAATACAGATCATTTTCTTCTGTGAAGTATTTGTGTGTCTCCTGTCCGTTTAGCAGCATCTCTGTGTTGATCGGACCGAACAACCCAATCATCCGAGCAAGGATCATTACAACTGCCTCATTTGGAAACAATACCTGAAAAAAAACATGGCAGACCAGTAAATCTAACGTATAAAAGTCGATTGGTTTCACTCGAAGCGGAGTTTTATATGGATATGAGAAAGAAAAGCTTACTTCTCCGGACCATAGCTCAGCCAAGATACAACCGAGAGACCACAAGTCGATCTTTGGATCGTATGAAAGACCTAGCATTACTTCGGGAGCTCTATAGGATCGAGACTGCACGTATAGGCACAAGTTATCTGATCGAAAGCAACTGCTTCCAAGGTCGATAACCTTTATCTCGCATCGTTTGTAACTTTTCATAAGAATGTTTTCTGGCTTTAGATCACAGTGAATGATTCCCAAATGATGCAAGAACTCCAATGCCTCCAAACATTGACGCGCGATGAACTGTCGAGAGAAAATTGGTAAGCTTTTTCGAAGTTTAAGAAAACATAGCCACGTTTAAGCGTACCCGAACATACCTGCAACCTACGAAATGTAAAATAAGCATCTCCACCAGATTCTTGATTGAATTTTTGAAACTCGTACAAGTTCGATCGAAGTAGCTCACAAACAATGAAGAGACGTTCCTGTCGAATTTGCATTACATGTAAGAGTGAGTGGAGCTAAAGAATGCTCGAAGTTCGTACTAATCCGACTTGAAAGTTCAAAGCAAGCTTGAGGGCAGCAGATAAAACAGACCTGATGATAAAAGTAGTCGTAAAGTCGTAAAATGTGGTGCTGATCTGCCGGGTCATGTTTGTTGACAAGCTTTAAAAGTTTGATTTCATCTAAGCTCTGATCGAAAAAATCTTTGTCGTTTTTTATGATCTTCAGGCAAACGTCGATTCCTGTCTGAAGATCGTGTGCTTGGACAACCTTACTAAAAGCGGCCGATCCTATGTACTCGGTTACGTAGTATCGGCCTGCAAGGACCGTATTTAGAACAATAGGCAAATCCTTGCTCTCTTCAAACCCAGTCCTGTAGATTGCATAATACATCAGAACAACTCATTGCAACATATCAACCTGCAACACACGAGCTTTAATAGATATTTAAAACGTATGAGCATCGAGTGCTTAGTGGTTTAAGCATCGTTTCTAGACTACGATATAAGGGAAACTTCAGCAAAAGATAGCCAACCTGTTCTTTCTATGTATAATTCTCAGATCAAACACTTCGAATTCGTCGTCGCAGATATTATAAATCGGGAGCTCGTCAGCAGCAACGCCATCTCCATCTGCAGCTGCTTCAGATTCATTGGCTTCATCCTCTACTTCATGACTTCCATCTTTATAGCTACTGGTTGCATTAAGTACCGACTTATTTTGGGGATCATTGTGATCTTCAAACCCTTTCGAATAATCACGACAAGGAGCTGAATCACAGTTTGTGGCAATGTCTTTAACTGTTTCATTAAAACTCGGATTCAGATAACTACAATCAGCAGTCTTCTGGCTATAAAACTCTCCATTGGCAGCACAGCATTTGCAAAAAGGAATAGAATCCTCAGGAAACCCCTCGAAGCCTCCTTCAAGTTGCTTATATCTATCGACACAATAAGGATGATCTATGACCTCGAGCAAACTTTCATCACTAGATGGAGCTGCACAACAAAGAATCGACTTCTCCGGAGCTGATAAACTACTATATTGTTCATCTCTCTCAGTGGACATTATGAACTTATCCTCACTTGGGCAGCCAAACAAATCCTGACCCTCAAAGGAGGGTGTCATGAAATTCACATCCTCTTGTTCATCATACCAAGGCAAATCGAATTCATGGTAATCGCGCGCCGTGTCGAACTGAGAGGCAATATCTGAAGAAGAATCTGATGGAATACCATACGGATTGATGAACTCTGCAACAGTAAAGATATTCTGAGCAATCTGAACTAAAACAAAACACAAAAATCGATTGGGAGAAAGAACACTAAAGATCAATGGAAGCAAATAAAGAAAGAACACTAAAGAACAAAAGTAATCTCGTTCACTAATCACTTCAAACCCCATTTCTCAAGACATGGATCTAACAACAAATTAAAGCGAAGAAAGCTTAGCATTCCACTTCAACTCACAACGATTAAGGCTGCTCGAAGAGACATTCCGCATTTCAGAAACAAACAAAGAATCTTATAATTAAGCTCATGATGATCAATCAGAATTTGAAATCTGATTCAATTCGTTTAAAATCATTACCAGAAGAGCAAACATCAGAAGTAGAAGACCTCAAGCTCACGAACTCATCATCGGAGGAAACAGAGTTCGATCCACAACGATCGTTTCCGTCTCCGTCGCCGTTGGAAAGAGCGGGAAATTTCCTGGAAACGGATGGAATTCTGAGGGGAGGTGGAGGAGGAACCATAGGAAAGAAGAATTTCTCAAAATCAAAAGAACCTAATCTCGATTTTTCGACCATATCCCTTTTGAGAGCGAACTCTGCCTCTGAGAACCCATTTTTCCTCAGAAATTGCAGTACTGCTTCAACGTCGGAAACCGCCATGGATGAAGGAAAAAGAAGCTCAAAATTTGAGAGATGATGGCGGGGTGCGAGAGAAACGAGTGAAAATGGTATTTGGAAGATTTGGATTAAAGGAAGTGGAAATTATTTTGGGAGGACTCGGAATTTGCATGCTGCACAGACCTTTCTCTCTCTATCTTGCTCCTTCACGCACTCTCCCTCCTCCTCTCTCTGTTTTATGTACTTTTTTCCTTTTTTCTTTTCTCTTTTGAATGTTCTGTGAAACTGAAGCAATCGAAGGGCGCCCATGATTTCCAGATTAGCAACTTTCAAAATGAATTAACCTGGGTTTAAGGGGTTTTGATTGGTGGGTCCCTTTTCATTATGGACGCTACGATTATCCACGTGGATTAATATACGCCCTATTTCAATTTTCTTTTTCTTTTTTTCTTTTTTCTTTTTTCTTTTTATTTTTCGCGACAAGATTTTGTAGTCGTTGGGGACCGAATTCATTTCAACTTTTCCACTCCCTTTTTTCTTCTTTATATATATATATAATTTAATTGTTTATATTTATTTTTCAACCTCTTTCAATTTTTTTATAGTTTTGGTATATATATATTTTTTTAGTTCAAATTTATATTTAATTGACTGATATTATATGGTTGGTTGCACGAAGAAAAAGAAAAATCATAACTTATTTAAGGTTTAGAGAATGATCGCACTAAATTTGAGTTATATTCGTACTATACATATTTATAATAATTTAATTTCTATATACAAAGAAATTTAACGGAATAGTTTCTTCTATTTACAAAGTGGTGTTAAATGCATTGAATATCGACGACATGATACGGACATAAATTGATGTTACAAATGATTTTTAACCATACCCTTATTAATGAAAAGTGGTTATATTGAAAACGATGCGTTCAAATGCAATGATGAAATAGACATAAATTCAAAAGTATGAAAATGAAAGGTTAAATTGAATATTATAATTAAAAAATAAAATATTATAATTAATCATATTTTGTTTTAAATTGAATTTGAATACTTTCGTTTAGAATTTATTGGAATTAAAAAATTGAAGAATTTAAATATGGTAGAGTGAATAAATAATAATAAATGAAAAAATAATAATTAAGAGGACTTTTAGGGGGGTGGCTGTGATGGAGCAATGCACCCACCGCAGGGCCATTATGGTTGGTTTTTTAAAATCACTCACACAAGCACCTTTTTTTTTTTCTTCTCACTTTTTTATCTCCCTTTGCATGTGACTGTACGTTTTTTTTCACTTTTCTTTTCTTTTTTATTAATTAATATTCATATTGGTAGACCATAAATTGAGTATAGAAGAAAAAGCTCGTATTTGACAGATTTCGAGCAACTCCCAATTTTTTAGAGAGCCACTCCTCTTTCATCGGACTTGTTGTGACCTAACCACTTTCATATTTCGAATGAGAAATTGTGCTTTCGATCTTGCTCTCTCGGTTTGGTCATTTGTGTGAGGCACTTGATTTTATAGGCGGGTTTTCTTAAGGACAAAAAAAATAAATAAATAATAGCAAGTTTGTTTGACTAAAATTTTGACCATAATTTATAATTTCAGGTTGAATAGTCCACGATCCGGAGTTCTTGACATTTAAATTTGTTATATTTTATATTAAATTTAAATACGGGTAGTTGTTACTCTTTAGACAGCTTAATGATTTGATTAATGAAAAAAACTTGAAAAATGTTAATTTTTTTAATATAAAGTTTGGTCACAAATAATACACTAATATTAATATCCAACAAATGGATATTGAGATTTGGATGGTTTATTAAATTTTTATTTAAAAAAATTGGACAAATTAACAAAGCTTGGAGGCATCTTTGAAGATTAGAAATTGAAAGGTGGATTATAAAATTAATTAGTAGTTAAGAAATTTGGTATACGATTAAACTAAAATATTTAGAGTAGGTGGTGACGTCTGTTGGGAGTACTTGAATACGTGGATACACAGCCCAATATTGGGCTTGAGACAAGCCCATATCAAGTTGGTCTGGGCTTTTCTAACATATTACTTTTCTTGTACAGCCCAAGTTCTTGTGATTTTTTTAGAAAAAAATAAGAAAATCTCTGCAATATTGAATAGAATGTGGATATGCGAATTTAACAGGAGAACAAGCATTCCAAGAATCGGAGGATTTTTCGATCGAAATTATTGTTTGATTCGTTTTTGCTTCAACTGGATTTATCTTTTTCTGATTTGTTGAACTGAATTGGCCAAAGTTTTGTAAACAGAGGAAGAAATGGAGTACGAAGTGGAAGGGGAAGCGAAAGTGTGTCCCAATCAAGGAAGGTAATGGCGTAAGAACCAGGTTCCCCACTAAGCACAAACTAATATCGCCTCTTCTTTCCTTTCCTTTCATTTTCAATTCTTTTTCCTTCCACACAAATTTCAACATCTTTATAATTTATTTTTTACGTGCTTTTTCCACAGTCCAGGGATTTCCCTGCCGAGGAATAGGTATGCCCACATTCATAGTCAAACAATTCAAATTCCTGTTCCTTTTTCCGGGAGGATATTATTTAGTATTTTGCTGCACTTTTGTAGTGATTGAAGCATTATAAAGCATAAAGATGCTAGTGGGCGGAGCTTTTTCCAATGCTGTTTCTACACATTCATTAGCCTAAGCTCTGGTGCGGTTAATCAACTCTGGAATATACTTTTTCTTCATTTTGTTTCTCTTTTTTCTTTATTTGGTTGAAATTATTTACAATTATAGTAACAATGGTTTAGGAAAAGAGGGGGTTGAGATCTATGCTATTGATTGAACTATCGACCTTTAAATATTTTGTTTTGGCGTTGGTCATCATTGGTTAGAGGGCTATGGTGTTCTTCATGAAATTTATAGTGGTTGGTGTCATATCATAAATAGAACATCCATTTATAGCATCGATGGATTTTGCAACTATGACAACCTTGTTCCTAACGCATTATGAATCAGAACAATTACTACAAAATCAAACAAATTCCGCAAGTGTCAAAAAATATAAAGAGAAATAAAAGAGTGAAGTCATGTCCACCACCCTTTATGTGACAAGCACGTTGAATCATCGTGCCGAGATTCATACGGATTTTACTATATTTGTGCCTAGAAGTTTATTTTTTAAGGTAGTGGATAGTAAATTTGGGTTCTGCAAGAATTCTGTTTTTAGATCTTAAAGGCTAAACCATCTTGTTCGTTCATATTATCAGGACATCCCGAAGATCCATTCATTGGGCCTCTGTGTCCATGCCGAGTATTAGTTATAGGAAATTAAGGATCATGGAGCAGTAAAAGTCGTGATAAGTAAGCACCAATAATTTGCCCAACCCATTTGCTAATGGTCCATTTACTACAAGAAATGCACCTTATATTGCTTTCTTTCTAGCTCAGTATTTTTTTTTTTTTAGTTGACCAATGAGACGTTTAGTAGTTGGCAGCCTGATTCAACAACATGACTAATAGGAAGTTGGCCACTTGGATTACTGGACCAAAGTCAAATCCCATCACTCTTTATTGGAAAAAGCTTATTCAGTAATGATGCTTACTAGTTTTCAATTGCTGAAGTGAGAGGAAGGTTGAATATCTTCCCTAAATGTTCTAAACTTCTATTATCTTTTCCTTCTTTATTTAGTTTTTGAGTGGAAACTTGTTGAAAAGGAATTTCTGCAGTGTTTCTGGTCCCCAAAAGAAACAACTAATCTCTCTTTTACTTGTAGGACTTTATTTTCCTCATTTGATTGTCCAGCTCTAAGAGTTTCTTGTAGAAAATCTCATTTGTTCAAAGACAAAAATAACTGTTATTTGAGATAGGAAGGATTGAGTTCAAGAATTTCTGATCTGCTTTTGCTTAAGATCTAGTTGACAGATCTTCTGCCATTTACCTTTCACTAACATATCAAAGAATGTAAACCCATTTTCTTTTAATATATATTTGTTTGTGTGTTTTGTGGTTAAATTGCATATTCTGTACCTATGGTTGGGAGAAAGTTAGAATTTCACCCCTATGATTTTTGAAACTCTCATAATTTGAGATCGCGCCTCGGTTGGAGAGGAGAAAAAAGTATTTCTTATAAGAGTGTGAAAACCTCTCTTATGCATTTTAAAACCATAGTAGATGTGTTTTAAAACTATAAGAGTGTGAAAACCTCTCTCTAGTAGACGTGTTTTAAAATCATAAGCTGACGGCAATACATAACGAGTCAAAGCAAACAATATATGCTAGCAGTGGACTTGGACTGTTACAAATGGTATCAGAGCTAGACACTGAACAGTGTGTCAACGAGGACGCTGACCTCCAAGGGGGGTGGATTGTAAGATCCCACATCGGTTGGAGAGGAGAACGAAACATTTCTTATAAGGATGTGGAAACCTCTCCCCATGAGATTGATGGCAATACGTAACGGACCAAAGCAGCTTTACATTAAATAAGGACCAGATTCTAACTACCTCCAAACCATAAGGACTAATTTGCTACTTATTCTGTATTTATATATTTATTATCACAGCCCCACCTGATCTCCTTTACCATGGCATTATTGAATATTGTCATGTATGACAGCTACTGCTGGCAGATATGCATAGTCCCCCCCCCCCCTTCCCCCACCACTTTTGAGCACTTCATTAAATCAGTCCTTTCTCCTCCAATATGGTTATCACATGGGGGAAATTCATTCATAGCTTTCTATTTCTTGTAGGCTAGATTTACTTGTCAGATTCTTACGAGGTATAGCCCAAGGGAGTTAAACAAGTAAAACCTTCAGGTTAAATCTACCAGATCAACCTTTCACTTCCATGTCTTGTGAATTGACAGTGAGAAATGACCAAACTTTGTAATGAATTAATATGTTGTCAGCAACAAGAATCCAGAGCAGATCGTGTAGGTGTTGGTGTTGCGAGACTCCATAAATAAAGCTATGTCGTTTTGTCTCTTTCTATTTATCTTATTTATATGCCTAAAAGTTACGCTACTGAAGATCTCGTTTGTATCCTTTTTCCCCCTCTTCTTTAGTAAAAACATTCTTGGGTCTGCTTAAACTTAGTTGAGCAAGTTATTGTTAGAATATTGTAGCTAATTGATTGGGTTGGGAACAATTTGAATTGCTTAGGCGGTTGTACTTAAAAATTGGATCGAAACAACCTTAATTATTGCAAGGTAAAAGCAAAGCAGAAAAGGGAAGGGGAAAAAGAAAAGGAAAACAACGTGTAGCTAAAAGCCAAATGCTTTTTGACAGAAAATAATGCAAAGTCTTTGTGGGTTCTCTATTCCTAGAATCTCTCTCTTTTTCCTATCTCTATCGCAGGCCGATTAGCTCCACACACACACACACACACACATCCTTCTTTCCCAATAGCTTTAGTGGGAGCAAAGAACCTACGAATTCATATTTAGAACAAGTGAAGACTGCTTCTATAGTGGAAAAATACTTTATACTCTTTGTTATTCCAAAGATAATAAGCTTAGGATTCAACCCCTCCCCCACCAAAATCAAAGAGAGAATCGTTTTGGCTGGGCCTACATCTTTAACTACTGAAACCTCAATAGGAAAGGATGCATGTGGACTGCTTGAGGTTTGTATTTGAAGTGTGAATTCTATAATCAATTGTTTTCTTTGAGCAGATTATCATGACTTAATGGGATAAGGATCTGTTCTTTTTTTTTTTTTTTTTTGGTTAATGAGAGCTTGATTTATGTGTGTCCTGTCTTGTTTTAGGAATTTATGTATAGTGGTTTATTTGGAAATATTCTTTCGACGTTTAAAAACTCATCCAAATTGATATCCCAAACCCATTCTTGATACTCACTATCTGGTTATCATTCATATTTTTAGTGTTTGATTGTTTGAAATAATGTTTGTGATTATGTCTTCCTTCTCACTCAGACTTGAACGAGTTGCTTCTAATTCATTCAAATCCAAAGCTTTTCCCCCCATCAAACGTGGGAGGGTACACAACCGTGAGAGAAAGAGCTTCTGACAAACGTACAATCAATATCTTGTTATCTGTATGTATACAATAATAGCTACGAGCTACTAGAGAGAACTACGAGTAGTCACTCCACTTGAATTCTATCCATACGAGGAGACCACATATTCGAATGAAAACTTACCTCTTTTGTATGCTCCACTTTACCTTCCTCAATTGTAAATATTTGCTTCGAGGAAAAGTTAGAAAGAAAGAGCCAAGTGGGGAGGACAGGTTGTGATAGGTTTAACAAGAGAACAGCTCATAGAGAATACTAATTTACCAATATCATCACATTTACTTTGGCCCTTTTGAGTGGCTGAGTCAACTCTATATAATTATATATTCAAAGATGAAGGGTGAGAGGAACAGAGAGAGTTTAAGATTGAAAGGTTTGGAGAATCAAAGCTGAGCCTCCTTCCCTCCCCTCGGCCCTTCCTCTCGTGAGGACCCGAGAGTAATCCAGGGCGAAACGAAGAAAGAAGAAAATAGTTTATCTTGGATTAAAAAGAAAATTTAGATGTTGGATCGATATTTGACATGTCCTTGATATGCATTCTACTTTACATGACTACGACACTATAAAGAAAGGAAAAAAAAGAGGGAGGGTCCATATTCTAAAAGGATATTTGAAATGAATTCAACCTCTTTTCGTATGAAAGGAATGTGTATGGTGGTGGTTCGAGTTTGAGTATGACTTCTCTTTCTTTCAACTTTTTAAATATAATTTTATTGAACTCCGGACCCATTAAACACGATGATCAAATCCAATCTATCCCAACACAATCAAATTACAAAAGAAAAAGGGGAATGAAAGGGAATATAGAGGGTGTTAGTGTGGGTTGGGGAGTGGGCATGAACACCATGCCTGGAATGGCGAGTTGCCTGGAAGTGGTTGGTGAGTCAACTCATCCCACAAGCACCTAAAATAGCATACATCAAAAGAGAAACTTATATGACAGCACAAGCAGACCCACAGCTGAGTGTGAGTCACCAATGTTGTGTCCTGGGCCCCACCCACCCCTGTTTGGTGGATACAATTACAGTAAGATTTTTTTTTTTTTTTTTTTTTTACAAAAATAATTTCACTTCCAAATCATTTTAAATATTTATTATTATTTTAAAATTGAGGAAGAAAAAAAAAGATGGAAAAATAAGAGAAAAAGACGGGGAAAGATGCCATTGCCATGTTCGATCCCTGTTCCTGTTGTAAAATGCCTTCTGGAAGACAATGCCCCACACTTATTGCTGGCCCCCACATTTCACCACCATTGTCATTCCTCTTGCCACGTCATCCCCTCCTTCTTTTTCCTTATATATATATATATATATTTCATTTTAATATTTCTATCTTTCTTATTCTATAATTTCATATCATTTTCTTTTCTTTTCCATGATTTTCTGAATTAAAAAAGAAAACACGAAGAATTGGTAGATTTTGTAAAAAAAATTATATATTTTTTTTTATTTGAATCTAAATTTGAGGTGGTTTTTGTTGGGTTTTGTATGCTCGGCGGTGATGCCTACGGCGGTAAGTTCAGCTCGGCAATGCTTAGCACCAGATGCTGCACACGCGCTGGACGAGGCGGTGGCGGTGGCGCGCCGCCGTGGGCATGCTCAGACGACGTCGCTTCACGCCATATCCGCATTTCTCTCTCTTCCCTCCTCCGCGCTTCGTGACGCATGTGCACGCGCCCGCAAAACTTCCGCTTACTTCCCTCGTCTTCAATTCAAAGCCCTCGAGCTCTGTCTCAGCGTCTCTCTCGACCGTGTCCCCTCCACTCAACTTTCCAATGACCCTCCCGTCTCCAACTCCCTCATGGCTGCCATTAAGCGTTCTCAGGCTAACCAGCGCCGGCAGCCGGAGAATTTACATTTGTACCACCAGCTCTCTCAACAGTCCTCCATTGCTTGCGTCAAAGTCGAGCTCCAGCATTTTCTTCTTTCCATTCTCGACGATCCTGTCGTCAGTAGGGTTTTCGGCGAAGCTGGATTTCGGAGCTCCGAAATCAAGCTTGCTATTATTCGTCCTTTCCCTCAGCTTCTTCGCTACTCCTCTCGCGCTAGAGGCCCCCCTTTGTTCCTCTGTAATTTGATGGACTATTCCGATCCTAATCGTCGGGGTTTCTTGTTTCCACTTTCCGGATTCCGCGATCGGGACGACAACGAAAACAATCGCAGAATCGGACAGGTTTTGGGGAGAAACAGAGGAAGGAATCCTCTACTCATCGGAGTATCTGCTTACGTTGCTCTCGAGAGCTTCACGGAGGCCGTCGATAAACGGAACAACAAGTTCTTGCCGGAGGAATTGGTCGGTGTGAGAACTGTTTCCCTCGAGAACGATTTCTCTAAGTTTTTGTCTGAGAATTCCGAAATGGGGTCTTTGAATGTGAGATTCGTGAAGGTCATTCAGATGGTGGAGCAGTCGCCATGGCCTGGATTGATAGTAAATTTCGGAGACTTGAATGCACTCGTCGACGATAATTCTTCCGATGACCGAGCAAGCCATGTCGTCGGCCACTTGAAAAAGTTGGTCGACGTTCATGGCGATAAAGTTTGGTTGATTGGCGCAGCTGCAAGCTATGAAACTTACATGAGATTGGTTACTAAATTTCCTTCGATTGAGAAGGACTGGGATTTACATCTCTTGCCCATAACTTCTCTCAGACCTGAATCATATCCCAGGTCCAGGTCAGACTCCAAATCTTTCTTGGAATTTGCTTTTAGAATTTTATAAGATTTTCTTGTTCATGAATTTTGAGTATTGGGTTTATTTTATTGTTTCTTACAAGTAGTCAATACTGGTAGTTCAAATAAGATATAACACCTGGATGACGGCAGCTGTCTATCTCATTTTAGATCTCTGTCTTTTTCTCTTTTAAGATCTAGCCTGCCTTACACATGGAAATTCATGCCTTTTCACCCTGAAACTTGATCATTTATAAAATTATTCGATTGTTTGAGAAGTTGGATAGAGTAAAAAAGCTCACCTAACATGTCAAGATTTCTATAAATGGAAAGGTTTGCATCTATAATACGAGGGTGTAATGTCTTTTACTTGAGATTATCATACAATTCCATAGAATTTAGATGAATATAAGTTTAAATACTAATTGATACTGATTTTGTTGATATCATTATTTTATTGATCTTTCCATCTAACTTTCTGTAAATTTGAGAGCTTGATATCTGCATTAACATGAACTTGTAGAAGATTTTTCAATCTCTTGCTGATTCTGGGTTTCCAAAGTTGTCCGTAGTTAAAAGGTCTCTGCTTCATCAAAATTTTTGAAATGAATTGTACATTCGTTTGTAAACATTTCTGTCATTTTTTTTTTTTTTTTTTTTTGTGAGATTCCACGATGGTGGAGAGAGGAACGAAATATTTTTTATAAGGGTGTGGAAACTTCTGCCTAGTAGACGCGCTTTAAAACCTTGAGTGGAAGCCCGAAAGAAAAACCCAAGAGGACAATATGTGCTATCATTGGACTTGGACTATTACATTTTTTCTTCCATAAATCTTAAGAAGCCAACCATTTTCTGTTTCGTTTGTAACTTTGGATTCTTGGATCTTATGGTTATCCTCTTTGTCACTACAGTTTGATGGGATCATTTGTTCCACTTGGGGGGTTCTTTTCGACACCTTCTGATGCAAGTATCCCTTTGAGCGGTTCAGGCCAACATCGTTCCCGCTGTCTTCAATGTGACAAAAACTGTGAAGACGAAGTGATTGCTGCTTCAAAAGGCGTTTTTACACCCCCTCTATCCGAGCAGTACCAATCTAGCTTGCCTTCTTGGATGCAAATGACTGAACTTAGCAACTCGGATGGATTCGATGCGAAGGTGAGTATTTGCTTTCAAATTCAATTCTCAGTATATGGTAGTGTTTTTCATGTTATAAGATATGTTCAATTTGAATAGAGGCTATACTAATTGAGAATTTCCATAACAACCAATTTCTTTTGTTCTTAAAGTTGTGAGGACTGATAATGTAGTTTACTTTAGAGAATTCTCTGCTTTTCTTGTGTAAAAGCTAGTTCATACGTCTTCAGTGCAGACCAGAGATGATGGACTGGTATTGAGTGCCAAAATTGCAGGGTTCCAAAAGAAATGGGACAATATATGCCAGCGTCTTCATCACGGTCAACCATTAAAAGAAGCACACGTGTTTCCGATGATTGTGGACTTCCGAGTCGCTGAAGATAAAAAGGAACGTGCTGCTGTTCATAATGCATGTATTTCATCACACCAGGATTCATCTGCTGATTTGAACTCCAGAAATTTCATGGATTTACCAAAGATTTCTCTCTCAAGATCAAACACCTTTCCTTTATCTGGCAAGCCGAGTAACGAGAATCTCCTATCCAAACTGCAGGAAGAAACATCTAAAACTGAAGATCTCGAGTTAAGGGGCGGCAAATCTCGTTTCAGCCTGTCAATTTCCAGTGTCGATGATGAAAGTCGAACGTCTCCCCCATCAGCAGGGTCTGTCATGACAGATTTAGGGTTGGGGATAGTTTCCTTGCCTACCAGTAATAAGCTGAAGAAACCGTTAAATCCTAATGCCGAAGGCTGCTGTTCAACAAATGTTGATTTGCTTAATGGTAAAGTCTGTAATGTCTTCACTTTATCTTCATCCTGTTCCAGCCCTGAACAAATAGGACAGATGAATGCCATGGATGTGAAGATGCTCTTTCGATTGCTCAAGGAAAGAGTTTTCTGGCAAGATCACGCTGTGAGCATCGTTAGTCAAACGATATCCCAACACCAAACCAGAAGCGAAAAACGCCATGGATCTCATTTGAGGGGGGACATATGGTTCAACTTTATTGGTCCTGATAAGTTTGGTAAAAAAAAAGTTGCTATTGCTCTTGCTGAGATATTGTATGGAAACAAGGATCAGTTCGTATGTGTTGACTTGAGCTCCCAAGATGTGACGATCAATCCCGATACGCTTCGTGGATGCCCTCGTATGAGAAGTAACAACCCAGAATTCAGAGGGAAAACTGTTCTGGATTTCGTTGCGGCTGAGTTGAGGAAGCAACCTTTGTCGGTCATTATGCTTGAAAATGTTGACAAGGCTGAACTTCTTGATCAAAATAGATTGTCACAAGCTATTCGAACTGGTAAACTCTCAGACCTGCAAGGCAGAGAAGTTAGCATTAAGAATGCGATATTCATGATGACATCGACGTCCTTGTGTACTAAACAACAAATGATTTTTCCCGACGAGAAAATGTCCAAGTATTCTGAAGAAAGACTCTTGAAAGCGAAAAGCTGGTCGCTACAGATAAAAGTTGATTCTAGCTTTGGAGATCAAGCAAACCGAACCAAGACTGTCTCCAACCCATTCTTCATGAACAAAAGGAAGCTCAATGTCATAGAAGAATCTTCAGATCAACTGGTGAAACGGTGTCACAAGACATCAAACAAGTACCTGGATTTGAATCGGCCTGCAGAAGAAGACGTGGAACACGATATCGATGGGGACTGCCCCGATGATGACTCCACTTTTGAGATCAAAACATGGTTACAAGATTTCTGTAACTACATTGATCAAGTAGTAGTTTTCAAGCCATTTGATTTTGATTCTCTAGCTGAGAAAATTCAACGGGAAGTTGAGAAGATCTTCCATAGTGTGTTTGGCTCAGAATGCATGCTTGAAATTGACTCAAAGGTGATGGAACAATTGCTTGCAGCTGCCTATATTTCATATGGTAATACAGAAGTAGATGATTGGATGGAGCAAGTCCTAAGCAGAAAATTCTTAGAAGTCAAAAGAACACGCATACTCTCTAATTACTCCATTGTCAAACTCTCTGCCTATGATCAGGAGCTTTCCTTGGAGGAAAAAACAGCAGAAATCTGTCTTCCCCGGAGAATCATTTTAGATCCAACGTCGTGGTCGTGTTCTAGCTAAGATGTTAAATGCAGTGTCATGTAATGTAGTAAGAAATCTTGCTTAGCCTGTAAATCCCCATAAGTTTTTGTTGCGTTTTCTTTTTCAAGGTTATGTTCTGTAAGATATGGTATTTAGTTGCGTGATTAAGTTCAGCAAGTTATAAGCCAATTGTCGTTGTTTTTGCTTGTTCTTTTCTCTTCCTTTTGGCCTGAGTTATAAGCAATTTTGGTTCCCAATATGGTAGGAACTTGCGAGGAGGATGAGCAGCAGGTCAAATCCAAGCCACACGTGGAAGTGGTAGGGGCTACCTCTCTGCAACTACTTTCGAATAGGAGACATGAAGAAGCAAACAATCCTTAACCATTCCATTTAAACCAACGCTTTCACAGCTTACAGTTCAGGTGTGCCAACTCCACCAACTTTTTAACTGTTCTTGTCTTGCTTTTATTAATCCCTCTTTCAATTCGTTTAAAGTTCGAAGATCTCTAGAACACAAACTTAAATCTTTACACATATTAAAGCAGACTCCATCACTCTAGGAGTAGGAAGCCAACACGAACTTCTAGATGTAGAATTTCATTAGTGATTCTTTCAAGTTCGTGGCTTGTCACATGAGTTTGAATTTCATATTTTCGTACGTGGAAACTTCCTATACTATATAATTAGTACTACATTTTTAGAATTGTAACCTTCCCATTTCCCATGACATATAAGCTACTAATACATTTTTTTTCCCAAAGTAAGTTTGTCACTAATTGTAGCACTACAGCCCGCTAACATTTACCCTTTTTTAATGCATTTACCCATATGAACCTAAAAATTTTAGTGCATTCAAACATTCTTGGACCAAAGGTGTCTTAGCTTGGAAATAAAGTGATGTCTCACCCATCAAACTACCCTAAAAAAGAAATGGAGTGACACTCAAAAAAATATCTCTATTTTGTGTCAAACACAAAAAGAGAGAGAGAGGAGAGTAGGCCATTGCTTTCCTTAGCACTTACTTTTCTCACACATAAAGTTTCTAATAATTTCCAATGAAAATTTCTCCTAAATTACATTGGGTTTGGACAGATTTAACCTTCTAATTCAGCTTAGATGTTTACTTCTACCAACCTCCCTCTCTTTTAAACATCATTTAATATAGCAATCTTCTTACAATTCTTTCTCAATGCTTCACAATATTTATAGATTGAATAAGATTTTCATTTGAATAGATCATATCCACAAGGAGACCCACGAAGATAGCGAGTACAAGGGGCAGGAAGGAATCGGGACCCTCCATCTGGAAGGGCCCAACCATAGATGAGACAGAGTATGGCCGTCAGATCAATGCTCTACAGGGACCTTCATTTCCACGCTTTCACCAACTCAGATTCGAAACCAGCTCAGAACCAACAGAAAAATGAAAATTCATAAACTTTGAGATCACTCCTCTTTCTCTCTCTAGCTCTCTTTCTCTCTCTTCTGCGGCCATTGTTTAGAGAAAATGATGAACAAAACACTGAGAAAGACATCTCCTCTTCCTACCAGAAGGGAAAAAGAAGCGATTGTTCTTTCTTCTGAGACAAACCCATTTCACCCAACCTCAATTACACCAACAAAAACCTAATTCTCAACGTAAAGTTTCTCTCTTTCTCTCTCTAAACCTCAATCCATGTCGTCCTCGCCTTCTTTGCTTTCTCTATATTTCCTTCCTTCTTCCATTCTTCTCTTCATTCCCCTTAATCGCTTTCTTTTTCTTCTTCTCGAATGCAGCCATCTCGCCGCAAGCTCTCTCTGTTCTCTTCAGAAATGGCTGCAATGAAGGCGCGAAAGAACAACAATCTCTCCATATTTGCTGTCGTTTTCTCCGTTTTTATATTTGGGGTTTTCATGTACAATGAAGACGTGAAGTCCATCGCCGAATTCCCATTTTCCAGCCCAAAAACAGAGAAGGTTCAAGAACAGAGCCAAAAACAGAGCTCCCCTGTTCACAACGCCCTTCAAACTGAGGTTTCCGAGAGTTCGAGATTCCAGCTCGGAACCAATACAGAAGAATCAGAATCAGAATTAGAATCTGATGAATCCGTTAATCTGAAATCGAGTGTTTTGAAGGAAGATGAAGAACAGAGAAATCAGAAGCTCGAACAATTGCCGGCGGTGGCCGAAGAAGTTGATGACGACGATGTCGAATTACCCCCTGAAGAATGCGATTTGTATAACGGGGATTGGGTTTTCGACAACGTTTCTTATCCTCTGTATAAAGAAGATGAATGTGAATTTCTGACAGCTCAAGTTACTTGCTTGAGAAATGGAAGAAAAGATTCTCTGTTTCAGAATTGGAGATGGCAACCCAGAGATTGTTCCTTGCCCAAGTAATAACTCTAAACTTTCCCTTTGAAAATCTCTATTGAATTACTTAACCTTAATGGGTTTCTTGTTTTAGATTCAAACCCCGATTGCTTCTGGAGAAACTGAGGGGAAAAAGGCTGATGTTCGTCGGAGATTCATTGAACAGAAACCAATGGGAATCCATGGTTTGTTTGGTTCAATCAGTGATTCCTCCGGGCAGAAAAAGCTTGAACAAGACCGGTTCACTCGCCGTCTTTAAACTTCACGTATAAATTTCGTTCTCTTTCTCTTTCGCTTTTAATTTCCTTTGTCGATTACTCCAATTTGAATGCTTTCAAATATTCGGTATTCAATTCATTAAACAACTTGGGCATATTTAACAATAATGGTGATTAAGACGGCATTTTTTTAAATTTGTTCGTTAATTTAGTGATTTCTTTTTGGAGCTTTGAAATTGAAAATTGGCATCTTTTGAGTAATGGGTTTGGTTTCGGAATTGCTTTATATGGAAGAAACAAGAGAATTGAAGGGGGGGAATGATCGTGTACATGCAGGACTACAATGCTACGGTGGAATTCTACTGGGCCCCGTTTTTGGTAGAGTCAAATTCAGATGATCCAAAGATGCACAGCATTTTGAACCGGATCATCATGCCGGAGTCCATAGACAAGCATGGAGAGAATTGGAAGAACGTGGATTATCTCGTCTTCAACACTTACATTTGGTGGATGAATACTTTCACCATGAAGGTTCTGTAAGTATTTTTCTTACTTTCAATTCCATAATATCCTCGATTAATTAAGTTTAATCATTAATTAATTACAATTAGGCGTGGTTCGTTTGAGGAAGGATCCACAGAGTTTGATGAAATCGAACGGCCAGTAGCGTATGGAAGAGTGTTGAATACATGGATGAGATGGGTAGAAGAAAACGTGGACCCTAATCGCACCACAGTTTTCTTCAGCAGCATGTCTCCTCTTCATATCAAGTATTTTTTCTCTCTCTTATTTATTCTTTTATTATTATTATTATTTACAATCACTATTAATGTAGCTTAATATTTAAAACAAAGGGACTCAAATACATCCTCCTAAGCGACCAGAAGTGTAAAACATTGTTGGTTTTTGTTTGGCTTTCGCGAAACAGGAGCTTGGATTGGAACAACCCAGATGGGATAAAATGCGCCAAAGAGACAATGCCAGTACTAAACATGACGGCGCCGCTAGAAGTGGGCACCGACCGCCGCCTCTTCTACATCGCCATGAACGTAACACAGACAATTAAAGTGCCGGTCCATTTCATCAACATCACCGCCCTCTCCGAGTACCGGAAAGACGCCCACACCTCCGTCTACACCATACGGCAGGGCAAAATGCTGACCCCCGACCAGCAGGCCGACCCCGCCACCTACGCCGATTGCATCCATTGGTGCCTGCCTGGCTTGCCCGACACCTGGAACGAGTTCATTTACACACGTATCATTTCCGACTCCTAACAAATCCCCCCTCTTTTCCGGTTCGGTTCGTGTAATCTTTTTATTACTTGGGCCCGTATAGATGGCCCAACATTCGAATTTATCTAGAATGGCGGCTGAGTAACAGGCCCAAGTTGAAGATGGGCCAAATGTTTCATGCTAGGCCCAGCCTGCTGCCTTTAAAGGTGTACCATCAAGATTGCAATGTTCCCAACTTCAGAAATAAAATTCTAAATTTTGTTTTTAGAAACCGGATGATTCTCGTGTTATAAATGAAAACTTTGGACCCATTAAATAACCATTTGAATTTTGAAAACTTAATTTTATAATTATTTTTAACTAAATATTTGAATTTTAGTCCGATTATATGAATAAAATTATATATATATATATATATATATATATATATTAGTTTTTAACATTTGAGTTGAAATTGGAGAACATAATAACAAAATAAATAAATATATAAATGGAATTAGTGTTTTATAAATTTATTTTTTTAAAATAAAAAAATAAAAATACTAAACCATTATAAAATAATGTCAAGTTAAAATTTAATTAAAAATCACTCTATAATTATCTAAACTAAACATTATATGTTTATTTATTTTTTTAATTGTTATAAATATGACAATCCGTGTCCAAAATCCAAATCGTAATTATAATTATTTTAAGAAGAAAAAAGGAAAATAAGAAAATCCAATTTTGTTCATTTGGGCCTCCGGAGTCGTACATAAATGCAAAGCTGGCACAGTTGCCATCTCCATTTTTCTAAGCCATTTTTTGCTTTTACTTTTTATTTATTTTACAATTTGAATATATATTTTCATATATTTTATTACGCCTTCCTGGTTTATTATCTTTACATTGAATTCTCCATTTAACAAAGTTGCGCCAGATTATATATTCCCACTCTCTCCTTCTTCGTCTTCTACTCTCTCTCTCTCTCTCCCTTTCCCTCCCTCTTTCTCTCTTCTGTAGATCTCTCAGTTCCCTCTGTCGTTCCGAGGGTCCGAGGGTTTCGTTGTTGCCTCAGATCTCGCCTTGCCTTCACTTCCGCTTATAGGCGTCCGATTTCTTTCTCCATCTCTCTCGTGCTGTCTCGTTAGATCCGCGTGTGTTATTGCTATCGAGCCATCATGGCGGCCGCCAGCGCTCCGATCACCATGAAGGAAGCCATAACGGTATGTTTCTTGTTGCTTTTTTTTTTTTTTTTTTTTTAATTTT